TTCAGACTCTTCAATTTTTCGCCTTGGAATGAGTCTTCTTGAACCCTTTTCAAGATTTTGAGTTCAGCTTTAATTAGCTCTTCTACAGATAATTTTCCTGTTTTCTTACTGCTTGCTCTGGAATTTTCAAAAAATCTATATATCCAGCCTGTAATTCTGATTATTTTCTTGTAGGATGATATGTTGTTGTAAAATTCGTCATCTTTCATATTTAAAGATGATACAATGATTTTCTTCTTCTCGGCATACACTATTTTTTCATCAGGAACTAGATCAAAATTAGGCCAGTTTTCTCTTGATTCTTTAAGCCAAGATGTTCCTTCGTGCCATTGTCTCTTCAATAGGGTTTTAACTGTGCAACCTCTTGAAGGCAAATCCGCTGGATTTTGGGTTCCCGGAACAAACTTCCAGTCACTAGCTTTTGAAAGTCTTCTAATTTCGTCAACTCGATTGGATACGAAAATCGTCCAAGGGCCTTCTTTCCTTATCCAATAAAGTGCGTCCATGGAGTCGCTCCAAATAAATGTTTCAATATCTTCCAATCTTAAATCCTTTTTTACTGTATCAGCCAATCTAGCTCCAATGTTACATGCAAGTAATTCTAATCTTGGTATCGACACTTTTTTCAATGGGGCAACTCTAGATCTTGCTTGAATAAGTTGGCAAGTGACTTTTCCATCCCTTTCCGCCCTCAAAAAGATGCAAGTCGCATATGCCACCATGGAAGCGTCACAAAAGATATGAAGTGTTAAGCTTGGTTTAGAAAGATTTAAGTTTGAAAGTCTACGAGGAATTTTGAAGTTGCTCAATTCTTTTAATTCTTCTTTCCATTTTTCGAATCTCTTAATTATTTCGTCGGGCAATTTTGAATCCCAAGAAATTCCAATCTTCCAGCATTCTTATAGAAGAAGTTTCGGGATCAACGTTATAGGACAAGTGAACCCTATAGGATCGAACAGCTGGTGTGCCATAGATAGGATTTTTCTCTTGGTAACTGGTTCACTATTGTTTTCTTCTTTAACCAGCTCACAGGATAAAGTGTCATTTTGCTTGTCCCATTTTAGGCCTAATACTGACACTTCCCTTTCACAGTTGGGATTATCTTGCACAAATTCGTTCATTTCAAGTAGGTTGTTATTTTCCCAGCCACGTAAATCAAATTTAGCAGCTTTCAGAATTCTCTGAGATTCAGATCTAAAATGTTCCAATTCTGAAACTGAGTCTACACTTGCAATGCAATTATCAACATACATAGAATCTTTGATCTTCACTGCAAGACTTTTCAATGGCTCTTCTACCTGATCTAATACATGATTCAGAACAGCCGCAAGTAAGAAGAGGCTACATGATATTCCGAATACTACTCTACAATGTCTATATGTAATTATCTTTTGAGGATCTCCGTCTTTCAACCACATGAATCGTAAACAATCCCTATCAGATTCGTTAAGAGGTATTTGTAAAAATGCCTGTTTGACATCCGATATTACTCCGATCTTTCCCCATCTAAACCTATTTAATACAGCTGGGATAATTTCTATGAGATTTGGGCCCTTTTCTATGCATTCATTTATTGATACGGAGTTTTTGGTTTTAGCTGATCCGTCAAAAACAGGACGTACTTTAGTGGTTGAATTATCTTTAAAAATTGCCCTATGTGGCAAATAATGTATTCCAAAGCTTTTAGAATAATCATTACCCTCATTAACTTGCTCTATTATACCTTCTTTTTCCCATTGGTTAAAAACCTCTTGATAATCATTTAACCGATTCGCTAATTTAAGGGATTTAACTGTGTATTTTAGTCTTTTATAAGTCAACTCTTCATTATCGGGTAAAGGAGGTGACCATCTAACCAGGGTAAATTAACCGTATATCTGCCCGTACTGTCTCTACTAACAGTTTCTCTGAAATGTTTCAAAGCAAGTTCTTGGGTCTGTGTTTTAGAGCGTTTTTCACTACTATCTTTAATACCCAAGGTATCTAAATTCCAGAGATCTTCAATTTTTGCATTATTTACATGCAATGACAATACTAACATTGAGCTAGTTGTAGATGTTCCCTCTACCTCATATTTACCCATTACTGTCCACCCTAACAAAGTGTGTACAGCAACCAAATCTCCCTTAAGGTGTTTTACTTTTCCCGTCAATATCTTTCCAGCGTAGTCAGCTCTAATGAGCAAATGAATCTCGCCAGAATCTCTTTCATATAAACAGGATCTATCATTAATCATCGTATCACTAATATAAATACCCAGATCTTTTAATTCGTTTAAACAATATGCATCATTCATTTTGGGTAAAGCACAAATCTTTTTCTCATCTAAAACCTCTAACTCACAATTATAGCTTCCATCAACATTTTGATAAGTTTAGACAATATTTTTGATGCATTTCAGTATGTTCAATTCCACCGAATAATCCATGATTCACGGATTCTTTCCCGAACCCTTTTAAACCCATTTTTCCCGCAACAAATTTCGTGACATATGATCTCTGACTACCTTGATCGATTATTACCCTTATTAAGTGTTTCAAATTATTTTCTTTAATGCATACTGTTAAAGTTTGAAGATAAACTTCCCGCGAACAGTTATTAGTCGAAAATGTGGTATTTTCTATTATTTCTGGTTTTTCATTTTTTGAATATTTATTATCCTGAAAACACATAATTTCAACGTGTCTTTTATTGCAATGAGAGCATTTAACCTTTGCCCTGCACATTGAGCTCATGTGATTTTTCCCAAGACATCTAAAACAAATGCCCTTTTTTAATAAAATCGATTTTCTTTTATCTAAAGATAAACTTTTCCATATTCACAATTTAAACCAGAACAATTTAACTCACCGCAAAACGGACACGACCTTGCTTTAGATGTAGAATCATAAACAAATAATTCATTGGCAGTAGGATTTCTTTCGCCATCATATTTCACTTCCCGCTCCCCCCTTTTGTGGTGACGCCAACTAACTTCATTAATATTCGGCGGCGAATTTTGTTTTTCTTTCACTCTCATTAAATCAGTCTTTTCTTTAGCTATCAACTGCTTATTCAAAAAATTAATCAAAACAGTTAAAGAATATTTTTCTCCGAATTCTTTATTAAATTCAAATAATAAATCGTTTGGGATTGACTTAAGTATTACGGGGGATAATAAAGTACTAAAAGTATCTGACGAAATACCTAACGATTCTAAACTTCTTATATGGATTTGTATTTTATCAAATAATTGCCGAAAATTTTTTACATCACCAGAACGCTTTAAAGGGGTAATTTCTAATAATTGACTCATGTGGTTGTTTATCAATGTTTCTTTTCTTCCGAAGCGCTGTTCTAGCAAATCAATAGCTTTAACATAATTTTCTGAGGAAATAGCAAAACCTCCTATCGTTTCTAAAGCTGTTCCACATAGATGAGCTTTTAAATAGTTAAATTTACTGACATCATCTAACGATTTGTTCTTATGTATCGATGTTTCGAAAGAGTTCCAGAAAGTGAGCCAATCACTTATATTTCCCGAAAATTTCGGGATTACTATCTTCGGTAATTTTATATTCAGCATTTCTGGTTTCGTTTCTACTTCCACTTCGCGATTAGTAGTAGGAGCTATATGTTGGGGAAAATTGAGAGGTTCCCGAATATTTTTCTTTTGATTCAAATTACGCAAATATTTATTAGCTTTAAATCTCCACGTTACTATCTTTTCACGGTATTCTTCTGCAGTTTCTAATTCTTTATCTAAATCCTCAGGTTTAAACAGATTTTCTAATTCAGAATCAACTGTTTTGAGAGACTCGAATTTATCATTTAATTGTTCAATAATTAGATCAATTTCAGTTTCTTCATCAGTTATTTCGTTTTTTTGAATTTCTGATTCTATCTTTGAAATTAGCTTAGTAACTGATGTTCTTAACGTAGTGCGTTTCTTTTTAAGGAGCTCAATGTTTGTGGTCATTTTAGAGCTATTATTATTCACAGTATTTTCAGTTCTAGTGTCCCTTTATTTTTATAATTTATAATAATAGTTCTTATTTTATTAAAATACGAACCGATAGTGCCGCCTGGGATGCCAGGTTGAAAAAGATAACAATTTTCTTTATCTACTTCAATAGAACAGGTATCAAATAATAAGATTCTTACCTTGTTCTTCTACCCGGGTCGGAAAGTACCTAAATAAAATCAAATGAGTGACCACAAACTCAATAAGAGACTCCTTCGAATGGTTAACATGTGTATAATTAACAGCACTAAAAACTACAATAACAACATGATGTCTCCAACGACAGTAACAAAATTAAACTAACTAAAAACTATTGTTCTTAGAGAGTTCTTAATCTCGTGGCGCCATCTATTGGTTCGTTTTCTGTGAAAAGGAAAATGAATGGTATTCTGTTTTTGACAATGTTCATTTTATTATAATAATATCTCTATGTCACTTAATGAAGTTTAATTACCTGGCACCTAAGTAAAGAAAATCACCATAAATCATTCCGCACAGATGTCACCATGCAAAACAACAGCAATAATGAGACAGTTAATGAAATTTTTAATTAAAGAAAAAAAAATATAGAGGCAGAAATCTCTAATTTTTAAACACTCATACCAACCCAATTTCTAAAGGATTGGAATATGAGACTAACATGGTTTCATAAGATAACAAAAGTGTGTAATTGTGTGTTTATTATTTTATTTCATAATTCTTAAAAAAATCTGGGTGAAATTATGTTACACTACTATAAGTACTGATTAAGAATCACTTTGGGATAGCTTAATCCTTATAATACACTTTAATATCATGTTATTCCCTATTGTGATTTTGTGTAGACGTCAATATTCCATATTTAAGTATTGTTATCTTATTTGAAATTTGCAACATTTCAAAAAAATATAGAGTTAATTAATGATATGTATGAGTACTTCAAAGGAACTTAATTAGCTTGAAGCTAATTTTAATTGTAAAATTTAAGTGTGCATAAGGGTTTGTAAAATATATCGCTATTATTATTAGTATTATTTAAAATACATTTCTGGTTTAGTTTAATAACATTTGTAAATAAACAACAATAATTTTAAATATGCACTTGAAATATATATATATAGTATATCAATTTATGGCAAACAGTATAAAATCAATTTCTTTTAATTGTAATATTGCAATTCTTGATAATAATCAACCCAAAATATTAACGGTAACATAAATAATGATAAAATGACCAATTAAATCATACAAAATTTAAATTCTTTTTAAGAACCAATATATGATATGAATATTTTAAGTTCTGTTATTCTTAATTATATAGCAAAATTTGATTGCAGAAATTAACCTTTGAAAATAAATTTTTACATAAGTAGAATGACAAACACCTCACGATCTGTAAATACAAGATACCTAAAGAAACTTCACATGCAAATTACACCTAACCAACGCTATAATCATTTCTAGTTACGTTTTGAAGAAATTGTCTGTAATAAGAATGCAAGAGATTTCTCAAATTAACTAAGTTTGCTTACCGGTCATTTCAGATGCAACATACACCAAAGCTCCCGTAGCATCCACAAAAAGAAAGCGCAAGAAAGTCTGAAAACATTCCTTCTAATTTACCAAACAAAATTTTCTTGAAAACCAAAGTATATTTACATCGTTCAGTTCAGACATTAAAATAGTTTAATTCACGAGTTATAGGCAATTTAAAATCTTAATTCAAATATCATTTATTAGAATAATCCACATGGATAATAAGAACTCTTAAATGTTATTTCTGAGAATAAATAAACATTCTTTAAAATAACTGAAAACATCGTTAGTGTTCATTAATAAAATATGTTTCAAGTAAAATAACACTCGATTAATTTATAGAAAATAAAATATGGAAAAATTGATTTTACATATCATTTCTTTTGTATATTAATTAATTGCAAATCCTTATCACTGAAATAAAAACATAAACAAAATTATATTCGCTTCAGAATTCAAGTTAATTCCAACAATAATTCAATTTTCAATAAATTCTTCAACTGTATAAACTTCACCAAAAGGCTAATAAGATCAGATATGCTGCTTAACTGGATAAATTACAGATTGTAACTAAATAAAATTAAAAATTTGTTATTATTTTCAACTTTTAAAAAATTCTTAAGTCAAATGCTCTATCAATTTGTCATACAAAAATTTAAATTCAATTAAATGTTGCAAACATAAAATATAAATAAATGTAAGGATACGTAACTGAAGAATGTTCGATGAAATTCCATGAAAACGAAATCAATTCCAAAAGCAAAGACGAGAGTTGATATGAAACACAAATTTAGTTTCTTCTTTATGATAAATCATAAATTAACTCCGAAAGTTAAGGAGAAATTGAAGTAGATATTTCTTTCGAGCAGCGTAGGAGGGGGGAATGTCGAACATCTAAAGAAACCATTCCAGGGTCAAGGTTCATCCAGCTCCATAAGTTTTCGCAGCATTGCAAATTCACCGTTAAGCATTTTCCTGTAGTATGAAGTAGCCGTAAAGATTAAAAGAATGAAGAATTGAAGATCCGATGATTTTTAAGCTTTGCGTTTATAACCCAATTTCGCTCCTTGTAACTAGGCACCATTTTATGATGAAGGAGTCAGGGTTCCATTTCATTGCGATGGTATATCAGGGGTGGTTGGAGTTTGTATGGTATAGTGGGCCAAGTTGAAGAATACTGACAAATTGAAGATTGTGATGATGAAAACAGAAGATGATGAAAATAATACTTGAACCGGATCAGAATAATTAAAAAGCTTTTATTTTATATACTTGCAGAGCTCGAGGTACCAAATATACATATTATCCATAAGAATTTCAGTTGAATAAATTTTGCATAATAATAGTAATAAGGACAGGCCATGGGAGACAAATCCCCACGACCTGCCTAATCAAAAGCCAAATTAAAAAGTGCCTGTAATTTGTTCCCAACGGACACAGAAGCATGGGTAGGAGATCCAAGATTGGCGATTTAATAAATTATAACATAGCTAAAACAAAGCCAACCAGCATATCAATATTGGGTTTAAAATAATACCTTGGCGATCACGAGTCGCCAACAAATTTATGAGAATTATTACAACCATGCAACTGAATCATTTTTGCGGTTAGAAATTAGAATAAAAGTTATTTATAGATTTTTGTTTTCGATTAGAGGCGACAGTGAATTAATAAGTCTGCATTAGTAATGAAATAAAAAGTATCCGTTGCACTGATCAAAAAGATAAGAATTTTATGTTCCTTTTAAAAGATTGAGTCTTTGATTTATTTTAAATGTAATTCTATTAATAATAATCAGCTTAAATAATGAAAGATATTTAAAAGGATTGCAAATAAATATGCAATGCCAATTGTGGCATCACAATTAGAATTTATTAAGCAAAATAAAATTAATTCTTTTGCGACTTTTGATCCCCAAGATCTCTTCAATAGCATTCCAATTTCGAAACTAAAACTTTTAGTATTAGTATGATTATAAAAATATCCTTAATTGAGATTTTTATTATTGAGAGATTCTAATGAATATTTCTCTCCTTAATAATTATGTTTGCTATGCAAAACATAATTTTTGTTTAAATAGGTGGAACATCACAAGGATTTAATTTTTCATCTCTTTTAGCAAACCTATTTTAGCCCTAATATGAAATTAAATTATGTTCTTAATATTAACTTTGATTTTAGATTTATTGATGATTTAATTATTTTTTACATTAAGCTCCATATAAAAGCATTAAGTTAATTATATATAATTATTAATAAATTTATTAAGAATATCTGCAACTAAATTTATATTTGTACCAAGAACGAATCCAATTCCGACAAATAAAAATCTTCTAATACTTAATATTTTTAAAATTCATTTTTAAATGCATTTATTTTCAATTAATTATTTCAATTAATTAATTAATTAATTTTTTCAATTAATTAATTTTTTCAATTAATTATTTCCGTAAAATCATCAATGTTAAAATTTCATGATTAAAATTTCACTTTACAAGTTCTAAACTTAGAATTATCCAGTATAATACAATTAATTACACATCGAGTTTTGGGCAAATCCAAGGAAACTAACAAATCAAACTCGCTTCTGTACTTCAGTAAGGAAGTTCAGTCAGTTCATAGATTGACCCCACTACCCTCTATTTACTCTTCTATTTTAATACTTTCATATTTCAGTTTGCATATTTCTATTTTCATGCATATAGAGGCAGGTAAGTTTAAGTGCATTTGAATTTGCTACTCGCTTTATATATTACATTTTGTGTTTTATTCTGTATTTTCTTGAATTTTCCTTTTCTTTTTTTGGCCTGATATCATTTATTTTGCTTTTTTTTGTTGAGTATATTCTATTTTCAAAGTTCTTTTGGTGCTCTTCACACTATTTTTTGATAATTTTTGCTCCTGTTATATTAATACAATATTGGAAAGCACTGTATTTTGCAATTATAATCGTGTGAGCCGGCTTTTAATTTATTTTGAAATTTTTGAATATTTCTTAAATATCTTATTTATTAAAAACCTTTCTTCTTCAATTTAAAAAAAATATATACTTTTTCCATGCCTTCCTTTTTTGTATTTTAACTTACTTTATGCGTTTTTTGCGTACTTACTTGTAAATAATAAGTATCATTATTTTTTTTAAAAATTTCTCGTTACCGTCATGTGGGGCTACTTTGTGCAGGATTTCGCAGTTTTTGAACTTTGACATGTAAAAAAACTATGTTAATTCAAACTTTAGTAAAATGTATCGATATTATATTCATAACTGAACTCAGACGAGTGAATTTGATCAATATTGGCATTATTTGTACGTAATATTTACAAATAATAAGTCAAAACATACCTTGCACAAAGTAGCCCCTAACAGGGGTTACTTTGTGCAGCGATAGGAATTCAGTTTAATAATCATGTTTTTAGTAAAATATTGATATAAAATTGTTAAAAAAGTTAATTGTTGACATTTTTAATAGCAAAAGCATCAAGATATGTAAAGATATTAGTTTGAAAATAATTTTCAGCGTTAAAAAAACATTTTTTATAAAGAATTTTTTCTTGAAAAGAATGTTTATTTGAAATCATTTGAGTTTAAACAAAAGGAAACCATATACATTTTTGAACATTGAAATAGATGAAATTTCAAAAATAATAATTATTTCATACTCATTAACATTTATAATATTGATAAATTTGAACATAACATGCTTGAATGAACATGACAGAACTTGCTCTTCAGTTTCTGTCAAAATCACCTGATGCCCTATAAAATATATTTTTATGAGTTAAATCGTTTGATTAATTCATTGAAAAATCTTTGTAGAAGAAAAATAATAGTTTAACAGTACGTTTCACGTGTTTCTTGTGAATTTTATTAGAGATAGTATTTCTGTGGATTTTGTACTTCCGAGAAGCTTCTGCAATTGACATACCACCAGCAACTGCTTGCAGACATTGTTGCAGCTTTTCTAAAGTGTAATCACGGTAGTTTCGCGTTCCAGGTTTTTTTTTTTGACGTCTGACCATTTTTCTGACGAAAAAAAAACGAATGAAACTTTGCACAAAGTAGCCCCACAGTGCATTTTTTTTCATTTTCCGTTTATTTGTTATTAATTTTCAAAATTTTTTATCGCTAACAAGATATAATTGTTTATTAATATATAAATAAAAAATTTTGCACTTACGACAATTGTTTTATCAACGTCTTTGCATTTCACACCTAAAGTTTCCAAGCACACTTTTCGACATCCGACGTTCTCGGAAAGTTGTAGACATTGGATAAACAAAACACACTCTGAGATTGTTTTAAAATTCGAAAAAATGTTTGTAGTAATAGAGGAGACTTCTATCGTCAAACTCCACACATTTTTAAAGAGAAAAAAAACATAATACTGAATAGCAACACTTGAAAAGTGCCAAATTCGAATTTGCACAAAGTAGCCCCCCCATGACGGTAATCTCTCTTTTCTTTTATTCCTCTTTGTCTTTATTGTGATATATATATATATACAGTCAGACCTCGATATAAGATCATCCGCATATAAGGTCACCCCGCATATAAGGT